AGTGAACCTGCTGTAGTTCAGTGAACCTGCTGTAGTTTAGTGAACCTGTTTAGTGTATTAAGAGGAAGCTGCTGTAAAATATAAATATTATATTTGAAGTGTCACCACCTCCACACAGACCACGCTACAGGAAGTGATCTCAGCGGTTTCACTGCAGGTCGTAGTTTTAAATCTTCTCCAGTAAATATGCTCAAAATCTACAAATGTTAGTTTGTCATCTTCGCTTCACGTTGGTTGTAGCATCTTATTTCAGATCAATAGTCGATCAGAAATATGTGATCGGACACAGGAGATTATTGAACTTAATGAAGACTCAGTATGAATTGAATTTCTGACAGTTCGAACTTTATTAGCTGTTCCTCTGTGTACAAACAATCATTATCGCTGACATCACTTCTTTTAAAAATAGTAATTAATGTTTGTCAGGTAAAGGATGGACAGTACGTACACCTGAACACAGACACACAGAACAGATCTGAGATCAGCAGCTGTTTTAATGTTTCTACATCAGACTGAGGGCAGACAGACAGGCAGAGAGTGAGACAGGTTCAAGGTCCATTTTTAATTTTTATAGTTTTTTTTAATGAAGTCAAGCAGCCAGTTGGAAAACAAAGAGAACCAATCAGGAACAAGCCGAGGACGAGAAGAACAGGAAACTGGAGGCAGAAGTTAAGATGCAGTTTAGTTGGTGGTTGTCATGGCAACTGTATTCCACAGTGAAGACGGTGGGCGGGGCTCTGACGGGAGAAAACACAGGAACACGTTAACTCGATGCTACACTATCATTTATCAGTCTTTTTTCCTGTAGCACCTGAACGCAGCACGGTTACAGTCTGCGGTGGATTCTGTTTCTTCTGTTTCTATATTTTTATGCAAATGATTCTAGAAACGACTTTATTTCCTCAGGTCGTCATGAGAGAGAATAAACAACCAGAAACATTCACAGTCAGACAACACAGCACCCGGTGAGAACAGCTGTTCTGAAAAGAACGAGTTCATGGAGCCTGAGGTTCGGAGTTCTATCTAGAACGTATCGTCTGCATAGAAACGAACTTCGTCGTTCACGAGTTCGTTTCCAGCGGCTGTGACGTAGAGTGAGGATCACCTGGTGTCCACGAGCCTCCACAAACCAGAGGCGGGCCGTCTAGGGCGTTTCTGCAGGGAGCAAACAGAGTTACTGGTTAGAATGAACTGCGATTGGCTGTGAGGCAGTGTGATGTCATAGTGAGACGTGACCTTTACCCTCTGGTGCTGCGGAGATGCTTTCAGGTTCGTCGGATTCATCGACTTCATCTGCAACAGAAGAAAAGATGGAAACAAAATGAGTTTAGCTTCTAACAGACTGATTTAGTTTACTTTGACCTTTGACCTCTAAGTTCTTGACTTTGTTGATTAATATTTATCACTGATTATTTCAGCAGCTTTTCATCCTGATGCCTTCATCTTGAATTTTTGATTTACCTTCAGAAGACTGTCCACCTTCCATCTCTTCCTCAGGGTCCTGAGAATCGTCCTCAGAATTTTCCTCAGACTCTTCCTCAGAAGGTTCCTCAGAAGGTTCCTCAGAAGGTTCCTCAGAGAGTTCCTCAGACAGTTCCTCAGAAGGTTCCTGAGACTCTTCATCAGAAGGTTCCTGAGACTCTTCATCAGAAGGTTCCTGAGACTCTTCATCAGAAGGTTCCTCAGAAGGTTCCTCAGAAGGTTCCTCAGAAGATTCCTCAGAGGGTTCCTCAGAAGGTTCCTGAGACTCTTCATCAGAAGGTTCCTGAGACTCTTCATCAGAAAGTTCCTCAGAAGCTTCCTGAGACTCTTCATCAGAAGGTTCCTCAGAAGGTTCCTCAGAGGGTTCCTCAGAAGGTTCCTCAGAGGGTTCCTCAGAGGGCTCCTCAGTGTCACCTACATTTTTTTCCTCTGCGTCATCCTCTGCTTTTGATCCTTGGTCTTCATTGCTTGGTTTGGTGCTCTCCTCTGAATCGTCACTGTCTGAGAATTAAAGGCACAGTTCACATATATTTTAGAGTCAGTGGGTGAATCTGTTTTTATCTGCTGCTGCTGTGGCAAATATAACATCTCATAAACCAAGCGAGCTGAGAACAACTAAGTTAACTATCAAAACCTGTAGTTAGCTTAGCTTAGCGCACAGGAGCAGGGGAGAACACGGTCCAGAACAAAAATCTAACAAATCAAAACGGTCGGATTTACGGTCTCTGTTGTTACCAACGACTAAATAATGATGGACGACATGACAGCCCCTAAAAGTGAAGCTAAATTGTTTTGATCACCCCCTGGTGGCTGGCTGCGGTACAGGTCATAAACCCTCCCTCTCCATTTTAGCAGGTGGGACATGAACCGAACTAAAAATCAAAGCAGCCGTTAAAGATGGTTTCGTTCTGCCAGATGTTTGGTTCTTTTATCGTCAGTAAATATCATCGTGTCACTGAAGACTTTAAACGAGTTAACGTCGTGTGTGTGTGTGTGTGTGTGTGTGTGTGTGTGTGTGTG